GAGAACATTTCTCTTCACAGTAGACGTTTCTTTTATACAACATATAAAAAGTAGAAGCTGTTGATGTTGTTCAAGCGCGTTCTAACAGTTACGCTATTGTTTTTTTTTTCGACGACAGTATTTTACATTGTAGATCGTTTGCTTGGATTTCAGCACCAAATACAACAGTTGCCACAAAATAATCTTCAACAAAATAACGTTCAGACCCTCCAACGGGACAATATGCCGAGAGGAAAAGATTCAAAGCCAAGAGGACGGATGACAGCATATGCTTTCTTCGTGCAGACATGTCGTCAAGAACACAAAAAGAAACATCCCGAAGAGAAGATCGTCTTTCGAGAGTTCTCCAAAAAATGTGCGCTGAGGTGGAAGGTGAGATTCGTCGAATTTACTTTGTGTTACATACACTACCTTGTGTGTTCAAAAGTTTGTAAGCACCGCGTTTTTCTTAAGAGAGAAAAATAATAGCGTTAATACTCCTTCAGTAAAAAGCAATATGAGAAATCTCGCTGTCAAAACACACAAATGTATTTAACAAAATGTTTTACATAAGTACATAAAGAAAAAAAAATATATAACATATAATTCTAACAAATAATATTAGATTATGATAAATAGTAGATAAATTGTCTGTGTTTTAGCTAAAATATCAAAACTTTGTCAAAATATACTAATTTAGAAACAATTCGCACACTTTGTAACATCATCAAACTATCGTGTATTCTATTGTTCTATGATCTGCAGTATAAGAACGAGAGAAATGTTTGATTAAAAGCTTTGTAAATTCGCAAAAGCTATTTCGATTTTTGACTCTAAATAAATAATATGTATGCTCGAGATACGTAATGTGCAAGTGTAACAGTGCGTCATTGTGTTTGACGTGTTTTGCCTCGTTCAACTGTCAATCTTCATCTCGCTGAAGTGGAATAGAAATTATTGATAAGGAAAACACGCGATGTATGCGAAGATTTCGCAACCTTGTTGTCAAAGAAACAAATTCAACACATCTAGTACATAATCTGATCCAATACCAAAGTTTTTCAATCGAACATTTCTTCGAAATTTTATTAAAAATTAATATCGCATATTTCATGAGTTGTGAGAGAAAAGCTCAGTCAGGAGAAAAATTTTATTGACCTAATTGTATAGAAAATAGCTCTTCTTTTTTACATTGACTATCGTATGTCGTAGACCATGTCGGATGTGGAAAAGAAGCGCTTCCACGAAATGGCAGAAAAAGATAAGAAGAGGTACGACGCGGAAATGCAGAATTACACACCGCCTAAGGGAGAAAATAAAGGCAGGGGCAAAAAACGTAAACACATCAAGGATCAGAATGCTCCCAAGAGATCTCTGTAAGTTTTCGCCATTGTACATAATTTATCTTGTTGATTCTGAGAAACAAATTTGTTGATTAATAATTAATAAAATATATAAAGCACCAGTACGATAAACTCGTAGTGATTTGAATTAAAACAAAAAATTTCTGCTTGTAAAAATTTATCTTAGAAAGATTTCCGTAAAATGTTTGTATATCAAAAATGTATTTTGCTGTGATTCTTTGTCAGATCCGCTTTCTTTTGGTTCTGTAATGACGAACGTGGCAAGGTCAAAATGCTGAATCCCGAATACGGTGTAGGCGATATAGCTAAGGAATTAGGCAAGAAATGGTCGGACGCAGATCCTGAAACCAAATCTAAATACGAGGCTATGGCAGAGAAGGACAAGGCTCGATATGAAAGGGTAACGTATTTGAATTTGTGTGGCGAAATCTTTTATCTCTGGTATAATTTTATTTCTAAGATTTGTTATGAGTCTTATTATCGTTGACTATTCCCATATCGGAGCTCCGTGATTTCAGAAACACAAAATTCTATATATTTTCTCACATTACGTCGGAACAAAATAATTTTTACTTGTGACAAAACGTGCGGAAAAAAAAAACGATCCCGAAGTAAACAGAAAATGCTGTTTGTTTCTCGCAGGAAATGACCGCGTACAAAAAGAAAATACAAAACGACGGCGCCCCGATGGTGGGAGCAGCGCCGGCGAACCAAAATGTAAAAAGTGACAGTGAAGAGGATGAGTGGAAGGAGGACGACGAATAGCGGATGCACGCCGAAATTTCTTCATCTATCACCCCGTGTCCTTCATCCTGAAAGCATACCTCACCTACTGTACGTACCATTGACCTTAGCGTGAGCGTACTTATACTACCATCACTAGGAAAACAAAATAACCAATCACCAAGCAACCAACCAACCAACAAATCAAGCTCTCCAACAGTCCCCACCAATCAACCTCCCTAATTCTTTCCCCGATTATTTACGATAATGATAAAGTTATCTGCATTAATTATGGTAATTATTTTAAAAGGAAAAACTGGTATGTGTGAGTGCTTAAACGAGCGAGAGCAAAAAGGAATGTTTGAGGATCATTGCATGAATGAAACATTTGTACTTTAACATATTGATAGTAATGATGATGTAAAGCGGCTAGTAGGATAGCGGAAGAAAGAAAAAAAAAAGAAAACCAGAATTATAAGAAAAAGAAAAAACGTGGAAGAGATAAGAAGATCGGCGGATGCCCATACTTCTCTCTCATCCGGATGGAAGGCGCAGGGGCTCAATCATTGTTGACTTCTTGCTCTGTCCCGACGCTATGTTACGAGCTATATAGCTTAATTTACTAATGACGAAACGTCGCGATAATAACGGCATCGCAGCGGGGAATCGGAAGATCGGTTGTAATCTCGCAGAGTTCGCGGTTTTTTTTTTTTGACACGGCAAAAGTACTCGTACTTTCTTCTTTGTCACATCGCGGCGAATGACGCGGAAGAACGAACTTTCAAAGAAGAAGTTTCAACGTATTCTCCCGGATCCTCGCTTGAAAAAAAAAAAAAAAAAAAAAAAAAAAGAAAAAAAAGAAAAAAAAAAGCCTAGTTGTGTCGCGTCGTTGTAATATATTATACTTTTTTTCGGGGAATTTTGTTCAGTTCAGTTCATTCGTCACCAGCGATTAATTTTTAATAACATGCAGAAACATAAAAACCATTTCAAAATGTTTGATGATGATTGTATATCCTTGTACAGAGAGCTTTGTTTTGCTGTTCAGAGATATAATTTTTTTAGCGAATTGATCTATATCGAACGCGCGTGCATGGGGGCATGGGGCCGCTTTGTATTTGCGATTATTATATTAATACATGTAATTCAGTTTTTGATTGACGTATATATCCATTGTTTTGCGATAGCTGTAAGTTCGTTTAGAATTAAGTGTACATGTATCTTAAGATGAATTTTTCTGCACCTTTACACATCTTTTTTTTAAGAGCATGAGATGTACTTTTTTCTGATTATTATATGGCGGTATTAGATGCTAACGAGCCATCTCGTGATTGAGCCTTAATTATATAGCTGATAAGCGAACTCTCGATGCGAGAGAAAATCGTAATCGAGAAAATTGTGTGCTAGAGAGAAGGAGAGAGCGCGAGCGAGCGAGAGAGAAAGAGAGAGAATGTGTGTGCATGTAGTTAGAAGTTTCTATTAGATTGTTGCATATGATATGTCGCAAAATACTTACACACATTATGACAATTTATAGAAAAATTTGAAAGAATTTCGGTAAAACATTTATATCGTCTCACACAATTTTAAGTAGAGAACATATACAAATTATAAATTAATTAATAAATTACTATATTGTACAAAACACTGATTACTTTGTTCCTTACATGGTTTTTAATGTTTTTTTTTTTTTGTGTTACTATTTTATTATCTTATTGCATACAATCAAAACGAGATATTATTTGCTTCTTCAACAATTGTTCAAGAAGTGTTGTAGTAAAATCGACATTTTCTATGCAAAAATCTAATACTAAATCAAAAATAGTAGCATGATATTTCAGCGAAATAAAACAACGGTATCGCCGAAATCGAAATACTTAAGTAACAAAAAAAAACAAAAAAACGACGACTATTATACTCAACTCGAACTTCAGATACTTTTATCGAATTCATTTGCGCTGTTTTGGAGGCTGCCGGCGGCCCGTCACTTGCAGCCGCAAAATTACCTCGTTTTACAAAATTAAATTGGCTCATATGATATCACGAAGACGATGATGCGTGCGAAATCTCGATGTTTTATTTTAACAAACTTGCACAAAATGTTTATTAGCTCCGATTCTAGTTTGGAATACAATACCAGCAGAAACGTTTTTGAGTCTTCGTTTCTTATTTTTGTTTCTTTATTATTTTGACAACACTCGATGAAAAGAAAAAAAACAAGACATTTTGTATTTCTTCGTTCATCTCTCTCTTTCTCTGTTTTTTAGTCTGATATTGAAGTGGTCCCTGCCCCTTGCCATCGCTATTCTCCCTCTCGCATTCGTTTTTTAAATTCACTGGAAAAAAAGCAACAGTAATATAAAAGGAAATAAAAACAACGTGAAACGTTCAAATCGTAAAAACTCGCGTGAATTAATATATATATAAATGATCGCCGTTTGCTTCGTTGACTCATGTTTTTTGGGAGTTGGATTAAATAGAAGATTAAGCTCCCCCCGTGAACAAAGGCGTTTCTCTCTGTCTTGTACTGCCTCGAGTCATCTGGTGTACAGCAGGCTGTATTATAATAAATTATTGTCGTTTATTGTAATATTAACATTCCTAGATCTCCTATAGCGTGTACAGCGATTTTAATCGTATTCGGGATTAGAGAGGGAAACTGAGAGGAGCTGAATAGTAGGAAGCCAAAGTGTAAAAGGGAAACGAGAGAAAAGAAAGAATAGGATCTCACTGGTTTCTTCTTCTTCTTCGTCGTCGTCGTCGATGAAACAAGACAAACGTATACATATATGAATATAAAGAGTTGTATGTGTTTATAAATTCAAGTATCTCATGTCTATATACATATACAAATAGATATATATATATAGATACTTATGTATTTACATATACTATATATATATATATATGTATATTTATGTGAGGTATGCATATATATATACATAACGGTGACACAATTCTTTTATATATTTATATATGTATACATATTCTACTCCGTTTTTTCTTAAAAAGCTTTGTTATGATCGGACTTATACCTCTTTGTCTTTCTTTTTTTTTTTTTTTTTTTTTTTTTTTTTTTTTTTTTTTTTTTTTTTTTTTTTTTTTTTTTGTGGTCTGAAACACCACTCTCTTTCTCTTAAAAGCATTAAGCAAAAAAAAATCTCCCCGGCCTCCTGTTCCCTTTCCTTCCCTTTTTCATGGCACAGTATCTCACATTTTCGACATAACAAAAAGTAAAAAATTATAACAATTCTAATGATTGATTAAGATGAGCAGAACGAATAAAAAGAAACCTGTTTTTCTAGAGGGAGTTAGAGGATGCGAATAAAAAACGACTGTAAAATATCAAATTGTAATATTTTAATACTGATTTGCAGATGTGCATAATTTTAACATATATAGCTGGTTATGAAATAAAAGCGAACTGTAACTGATACTGATATTGTGTGAGACACGGTATCTGTCGATGGATAATTAAAATAAAAAATAAAAAAAATAAAAAAAAAAAATGGAAAAAAGAAACTGAGTATTTGAAAAGGATCATGACATAAATTTCCTGTGTTATACTACTAGGGGAATTATGATAGTTACACAAGAAGAAATATTTGTTTTGTATATCTCTTAGGGATAAATAAACTTTTCAAAAAATACATTTCTCGAAAACGGGTTTTCTTCTTCTAGCACACCAACAATCCATTTCCGAATGTGTACATAATGCGTAAACAAAAAAAACAATCGACATTTGTACGGGTTCATCATTTCATTAGCTAATTATATTGTATTATGTTAAATATGTAAAATATATATTCTAATATTATATATTGTACGAATATATACTAAAAAAAATGTACCGCATATATATAGAGCATTAAAGAACACATGTATGATCTTTTGACTTACCTTACGTTACAAGCGATTCGAAATGACGAGTAGCTAGAGCGAAACAAAAAAAGAAAAATAAAATATAAACGAGTTATTGTACACAATATTACAATAAATTTAAATGGATCTTCAAATCTAATTCAAACAAAATCTAATAAGCGTATGAACAGTTTTGCAAAATGTTAAGCGCAATTAACTACACGATATTTTATGGTGTCCCGTGTTATACATTTTATAAATTTCACGAGATATACCAAATGTAAAAAGAACAAAACATATATATAATTATTAATGTAATACGCATGCATTTTTCGTAAGGAAAGACAAAGAGAAGCATTAATGTGAAAGAAGTGAGGAAAAAAGAGAAATCAATTACATAATTACACACTGTGTGTTGCTTTAGTGTAATTTATGTGTGTACATATATATATATATATCAGAGAGAGAATCATGAGAGCGACCAGCTGATAACAGAATGTGTAATCACTTTTCCGCCCCGTAAACTACCGCACGTCCACGAGTGGTACACATTGGAACTACGCAGCCAGTCCACGAGCGACATGTCGCTCGTCCACAGCGTGCGGTTCTATTGCGTGCAATGTGCACGTGTCCAAATGGTCACCTTCTTCAGGCGTGTGAGTATATTCGCGAGCGTAAATTTGATTTCTTTTGAAATTTAAAATGATCGGAGTCTCGTGATGAGAAGATACGACAGGAGAACAAAAAAGGATAAAAAAAAAAAAAAACATTGCAACTTTCCACACAACATAAATGTGATATACAAGAAAAGATGTGATAGTGAAGAAAATAATATTATTTCAGCGAGCAGCATCAGAATTCGTGGAGTGTATCATCTCCTTTTACATCATCATTTGCTGCTTATTGCTTTATAAATTTTATTTTATTTTATCAAAAACTACATATATACGTATAAATACAAATTACACAAAAAGACATGTATATTACACAAAGGTGTTTTGCCGGTACACAAATATATACGTCTGAAAAGTTGCAAGTTCAAAAAGGATATCTATTACTCTGCTTTATTACAATTTTTTACCAGTGTGTTTTCAATTTTCAAGTTTTATTTTACAATTTTTAATTGGTAAACCACAGGTAAACCTGAAATCACAACCGTGCTTCTTGATTCCCTCTTTCATCTCTCTCTAACTCACACTTCCTGCTTTCTTTCTCTTATTACTTCTCTTATTAAAATTTTTCACTTATTACTTTCTCTTTGTCTTACTTGAAAAAAATATATATGTATTCTTTGCCTTGAGTATTCCCGTAGACATTCCCGACAAATCTGTATCGATGTCGTTTTATTTCGAGGCGAATTACGGATTGCCAAGCGAATGGAATTCCACTTACTACTATTACGACGAAAGTTATTTCGAAAAACGAAGTCTCAGTCGTCAACTGATATACAGCTTGTTCACAAACAAACTGGAAAGTTAAAAAAAATGTGATTAAAACCACACACACGCAGATATATTCTCTACCAACACGTATGTATTTCGAAACCTCACTTCTAATTACACGTGTGATTGTTAGGCTCAAAATATACGCTCGTAAATAATGACATTGGTGTGTTTTACAACAGTCTGGGCTATCCTGAACAAGATTGTTTGTTGAAAGTAATTTGTCAAGCTGCAAAATATGCTTTAAGCGAAAACGGTGTGCTTGGTGATATTCTCAAAATCATATTCACGTAAGTATTGTAATAAAAAGTATATTTGAAAGATTTGATGTAAAGAGAGATGTCGATATAAATTACAATCAACGAACAAATAATGTAAAACAATTAAATTTGCATTGCAGACCTTTCACGTCGAGAAGCGAGGAGCTTCCAAATGACATCACGCAAGCTGAGCACGAGCAAATTTGCGATCAACGTTACG